CACACACACACACACACACACACACAAAGGAGTAATCTTTGAAGTTTTTATAAAAATGAAGTCATACTGTACATTATTTCCTGTCAATTATTTTTTACTCTATTTGGAATCTATGTTAGTAACCCTTGTTATTCATTTTAACTATTAGTTAGTATTCCACTGTCAAAATTACCACAGATTACTTATTCAGTCACCTGTTGACGGACCTTTATGTTTTTCCACTTTTTTTGATATTACATGTAATTCCACAGTGACCGTTCTTACACATGTCTCCCTTAGTAGTTGTAGACACTGTTCTCTAGGACTTATTCCTAAAGGTAGACCTAAAGGATCGCGAGGGCTTACTCAGCTCCAGCTGTACTATATACATTGCCAGATTACGGCCCAATGTGTTTATACCAACTTCCCCGCTCACAAGCCGTGTATGAGAGTCCATATACTCACCAATACTAGGTTCCACCAGGTTCTTTTTCTTGTTGTTTATTTTGTTTATTTCATGGGTATGAAATTGTATCTCATTATGGTTTTAATTTGCATGCCCCTAATTTGCAATGTGGTTGAGCATAATTTATGGTTATGGTTCATTTGAGTTACTCTTAACATAGTTTCTACTAGTTGTTTATCTGTTGAATATGATCAGACTGGGTTAATTATTTGCTAAAATTCCTTTTTGTCTTTCTGTAGAGACTTACGGCCAGTACAGGAAGCAAACAGCGAAGTCGCCTTTCTGTCATGGCCCAGTACCTCTGCAGTGTTCAGCACGTTTTTACAATTCCAGGTCGAGCTTTTGTACCCAAACCCGAGGTAGGAGCATCTGTTTATTTGTTTGAATAGTGTCAGACCCAATTATGTCAGAAACCAAGATCTTTACTTTTAGGCTTTTATAGTTACACTTATTACCATAACCCAGGATCTTTAGGTCACCTAATTTTACCAAGGGTTCCTTAGAGTGGATATTAGAATATTTTTAGTGGAAACTTTCTAACTCTACTTTAATTACCTTGTTGACGGTATTTGATGGTGATTAGAGGTTACTATCAACTTTATCTTTGATTTAGGGATAACATACCCTTGTTAGTTAATTAAACGTTCTTTCCTCTAGGATGAAGGCCTTATGAGAATATTTATTATTTGGAAAAAGAACTAGCTATGTCTTTGGTTCTCTTTTTATTGAGGGATGTTTGCTTTTTGGTAAAGTAAACATATTCATAGCAATTTTCTTTCTGTGCTTTGTGTCATGTTGTAAATATTATATTGCAGGGGATTTATTTAATCTAGGAAATAAGTTATCAAGGGGGAGAGAGAGAATGTATTATAATAAATGAAAACAATAAATCAAAGGATTAAATTTTAGTTCTGAAAGAATTCTCTGCTCTGAAGTAGTTTTACCATATTAGGACAGATCAGGAACACTCTGAGGAAAGCCAGAACATATTTGGCTGATAGGTGTGCTGAGCAATTTTTAAAAAAATTTGTTTTCATAAGAAAAGGGAAGAGTTTTTACAGAAATGATAAAATAGCAGTACAAGGCTGCCTCTCGTGCTAAACCCTCTGAAGGCAAAAAGAGTCATAAACACAAATAACTATAACACAAGATAAAATACACCAAGTGCTAAAATAGAGGTACCAGCAGGTTCCTGGGGAGTTGAGAGAGAGGTGTCTGTAGATGCTCAGAAGAAATTCACTAAAATTCGATACTTATTCTCAACCAAAACTCTTTAACAGTTAGATAGAGAGAATTTCTTTTGTCATATGACAAGAAGCTTATTTATAACCACCTTAGGACTTTCCTGTGAGATTCTGTTATCCCCTCTGTCCATCAGTCTTTGGATTTAACTAACTTAGTCACGCTTTACTGGCAGAACTCTCACCCCCATGGAACTATTACAATTCTGCCCTGACTAGTTGAACTAAAGCCTTGCCAAACTCTTTGCCCTCATTAACTTCTCTAGTGCGGGCCCCAACATTTGAACCCTAAATTCTTTTCTATCTACAGAAAACACAACCTCTTAGGTTCTTAAAATGTGATTGGTCTGCTCTAGTGTTTCTGAAACTACTGGAGTTTGGAGTGTATGGATTTTAAGTTAGAATTTTTTAAATTGTGTATTTTCATTTCACTGTTGAGTTAATAAAAGTATTACTACAAGACAAAACTTCCCTTTTGCAGTGCAAATTCACAACTAAAAAGTGCTTCCATGAGAGAATTTTTTGTAAGTTTCTCAAGCTGGCATCGGAAGACCCCTGAGAATCCATGTATTTCTAGGGTTTCCAAGTAATTTTTTTTTCAGCCTGCCTGCATATTACTCAGTTTGAGAAATACCAAGCTGTTAGCTATTCACTCAAAATGTTGCTGTCATCTTTTTCTTTTATACATTGTGGTCATGGGTCTGGTCATCTAACATCCTTCCCACAGAATGGACTGGGTTACTTCTGACCACTGTGCTGTACTGCAGCCCAGTAGAAAAGTCACTTCGCTGTAATAGGAGAATTGCAACAGGCTCTTCTGATTGACATGAGAAAGGCGGCATTCTCTCGTGGAAGAACTCGGAATATTTTGAAGGAAGCTAGACCTGGAATTCCAGCGCTCCTGGTTATGAGAACTTGGGCAGGTTAATAGCCTGAGCTTGAATACATCAAATTGGGGCAATAATGCCGCCCTTGAAGAGTTGTCCTGAGGAATAGCGATAATGAATGTAAAGGGCCTGATATGAGCATCAGGCACATGGCGGCGGGCAGTGGAAGCGAGGTATTACTGTTACAGCTATAAACAAATACTTGTGGACCAAGTTTCAGTATCCTATTATAGTAGTGCGGATTATAATTTTAAAACATAAATATAATTTACATCTAATTTGCCTGTTACACATAATATATGGAGCAAGTTACTCCTAAACTGGGTGCAGATTTAAAGCATAAATTGCGTCAGTACAATTTGAGATGAATTAACAGTGATACACCCGTGACATATTATAGAGAAAGGTCAGGACTGGACGCATCCTGCCTGGGCTTTGAGGACAGCCTTTTAGAGGCTTTCGGCGCTGCTCGCCACAGCTATTGAGGCCTCCACCTGTGTGTGAAGTAGTCTGGAGCTTAGTAAATGGATCGGTCCACATAAGAAATGGCTATTTTCATGGCTTTGTGTTTTTTGAAATCTGAGATGGAGGATGTTACTTCTGTTGTATATTATCCTGTATTCGAGAATCCTTTGGACCCAAAGTCGGAAGACTAACATTTTTCTGCTTAACTAATATTCTTCGGTGTTAGGTCTGGTTTTCTAGAATCAGAGATTGAAATAAGGATTTTTGTGAAAGTGAATTGAGGAGTGTTCTCTGGAGAATGGAAGGAAGAGAAGCAGGTTAAGGCAGGGAGAATGAGCTAAGCGGACATACTGCTCTCCCTGGAGACTAGGACGGGGCGGAAGGGGAGCTCTGGGATACAAACTCACCCAGAGAGTGAGTCCCCCCTTGATGCAAGGGAGCAGCTTTTTGTCCTCCTGTCTTAGTCAGTCTGTGCCTCCTGGCCTCCTCCTCCGAGGAGCAGTGGTCTGTCACCTTCCAGCACAGGCAGACCTGTGAGCCGTCCGCTCCCCTCACTCACTGCAGCTGGGGGCGGGGTCTGTGTGCAGGGCCCGGTGGGAGGAGCTAAGTCAAGGAACCATCAGCAGCCTCTGGATTCCTGCCAGCAGAGGGGGCTGTCGGATTCCTTGTGTGGCCTTCTCTGCCTCGGTTGCTGGGAAGCTCTAAACTAAGCGTCATATTTAATTCCTTTAGCAGCCTTCAACCAGGATTATTTAATAGCATCCTTTCTGTCTCCCTTTTCTTTGTAATTTTAGTCGTTCACCTCTGTCATTGGCTTTTGTACTCACTGTATCAGTAATTTTATTGGAAGTTGCCTCAATTTTTTTTTCAAAGTGAGTGGGTCTCAAATAAAAATAAATATGTAAACTAAAAGCCAGTTTTATAATTGAGAAGTAACAGAGTCATCCTCCTCAAAAATCAGATAAAATAAGTGTTGAATAAAAATAAGAGTATTTACTCTTACAGTCTAATGTAATAGTAGTTATGCTTTCATTACTGAATAATATAAGCAGCAAGAATTATAAATCTAAGAAAGAAACAAAATTGAAATTTTGCAAATGACAATTTTACATATGTATAAAATGCAATGAAATAAGTTATTGGAAGTAATGAAGAGATATGCAACAGATACTGCAAAGTTACAGGCTAGGATATAAATCCTCAGAAGTCAATAAAGTTGATGTATGCTAAAGCCATAAAGTTAAAAATACAGTAATAGAAGAAATGTAATGAGAAAACAATTGAATCCACGTGCAACTCTGAACTTTCTGTCTACCCACCCCAGGCTGCTCCTCCCCAGGGACTCAGTATGCTAAGGACGTCTTCATCTCCCAGGCTGTCCAAGCCTGAACCCAGATGTCATCTGAAGCACCCCACCCTCCCCATTACCTTCACCCTCACACCCAGTCACTAGGCACCAACTTCTGCCATCCCTACACCCTACCTCTGAAATCTATCCGTTCTTATACCCAGTTCTCCTGAGTTAATGTAAGTCTTCTTTATTTTTGCCAGAATTACTAGATGATTTCTTCAGATACACACACACACACACACACACACACACACACACACACACACACATACACATACACACATACATATACACATACATCTGCCCCGTAGATAAAATAAGCATGATATTCTGGGGGTTTTTTTTGGCATTTTGGGGGGAGAGATTGTTTTGGTAACTTTTTACTCAAACAAAAGTGAATGTTTAAATATATTCAAATAGATTAGACCAAGGTTTCTCAGCCTCATCACTATTGACATTTTGGGCTGAATGAGTCTTTGTTGCCGGGGCTCTCCTGTGCATTGTGGGACATTTAACAGCATCCCTGGCCTCCGCCCACGATCCAGCACCACTACCCCAGTGTGTCAACCGGAAATGACCCCAGACGTTGCCAAATGCCCTCTGTAGGCTGAATTCACCCCCAGTGGAAAACCGCTGGGTTAGACTGAGAGCGATTGGGCAGCACACTTTACATGCTCCCATGCCCCGAAACGTGCTTTGCGTGTATTATCTCCTTTAATCCTCAAAACAGGTCTGTGAATAGGTACTGTCTTTCTTCTCGTCTTCACATGAGTAAACCAAGACTTAGATCAAGTAATATGTATTGTGTAACCTTACACCCAGGTGGCTTGACTCTGGAGCCAAGTTCCCTCAGGTTGAACGCCATCTCCCCACCTTAGGCAAGTTCAGAAACTTAACCTTTCTCTGCCTCAGCTTCCTATAAGCCGCTAAGAGCAGTACCTGCCTCCTAGAGTTCTCACGAGGATTAAACCAGTCAGTGTATGCAGAGTATTTCCGTTAGGACGGGCATGTCATAGATAAACACTTGCAATGACAAGTCACTGAGAGTACAAAGGCAAGACACATACCTTGTCTCCAAGTCTGGCTGGAGATGCAATCTTGTGAACTAATCATTTGTTTTGCCAGAGCATTCTCTGAGAGTACAGAGATGGATGCAGCAGACTTCTTCAGGGAGTCACGACTGAGTTCACAGAGGAGGCCCCAAGTGAACCCTGAAAGATGAGCGGGAGGTTAGGGAGGCAAGGGGTGAATGTGGGCGGGGTCTAGGGGGAGGAGTGCAGTAGGGGTGAATCCTGGAGAGATGGCGGGACTCATACCATTTCATGTCTCCATTTTCATTCTGGATAGACTTGGGCCATTACCATGTGTGAAATGGCTGTGTTTCTGAGAGTTCAAAACACTCCTGTATCTATTTAGGAAGAAAATAGTCCAGAGCTAAATGAAAATTATTTTTGAAATATATATAGACTTCTTTAGAATATATAAACTTTGATATCAGACTATAGAATATGTAGGCTGCATCTAAAGCCAGTCACACTAAGCAAAATGAGAGAACCATATAAGTGTCAGAGCAATCCTATCACATTAACTTGCATTAAAATATGCTTTTTATTAGAATTATTTTAAATGTGGCATTTGTTTAGAAATATTTTGACCACTCAAAAGGAATACATATGTTAAACAATCATTCAAACTCCTGCTTAAATGGCTCCCTTCCTAATTCATATCTGAAACAGCACCTTTTCATTTTAGTTATTTCATTAATAGCTAATGACATTGTTGAAGAAAAGAATAATGATCTACCAAATAAAACAGGTGTAAAATATTGTAGTCTCTACTTCTGTATGAACAAATGAAAATTACTGACTCACATCAGGATAGTCTTCCTGTTCCTGAGTTACTAGTGTACAAAGAAACTCTCTTTCTCCCCTTTACCAATGATTAAGGGTGAATTAGTAAACTATTACAGAAAACCGGGTGCAGTGTTTCCTTTGCATATTAGAAAATCCAGTTTTTATTTACGTGTTAAAATATTCGAAATACATAAGATAATTGAACTTATATTTTTAAAAGCATTCTTTATACTTTAAAAATGACTTTCACCTCCATTAACTAGTTGAAGCAGCTCATTTATACGAGAACAGCAGTGTTTTTGTTCATGTGACTCAAACTTGAGAATAAAAGGACAACTAAAAAGTAAACTTGATCATCTAAAAACTCTAATCGGTGAGAGATTAGATGAGATGGGGGTAAACCGACATTGTGGGAAAAGTGACTTAATCTGGAGACTGCTCTTGCTGGCAGCAGAAGAGGCCGTTTCTTGAGCATATTCAAACAAACTAACTTTTATAGTTATCACTTAGCTTGGACTCAGTGCTTTAAAAGTCCTCGAGACCTGAGTGTGGGTTTGGTTCGGTTTTGCTTTGCTGTGGTAGCGTTTACCAGTTTCTTTCCTTTAGTTCTGCGCAATCTTTATATGTCATATTGTCGGCTCTCACAAATGCATGTACACATTTTTCTAACATGATCATAGGGACAGGAAGGACACAGTAGGTGGGGACTCGGGGTGGCTGTTTTGGGCGACGTCTGAAAGAGTTGGAGAGCTCTGGTGTCCCTACCGAGCTGTCATGCAGTGGGGCTGGAAAACAGAGGCCAGTTACTGCGTGTGGTGGTGTCACACAGACCGCAAAAGTGGCTGATCCCGGCCAACACTAGGGCAGGGTGCTTCTTACGCTTGGCAGTTTAATTCTTTTATGAAATTCAATTAATTACCAATTCAGAAGATGTATCAACAGGTTATCTTAAAAAGGAAGGAAAAAAAGCCATCAATTAATTGTTTATTAATACGATCAGAGCCTCTTTCAATTATGAACCTTTACATAAAACACTGATGGAAACAGTGATGGAAGAATAATTTCAAAACAGATGTAATTGTGACATGATAGTTTGTTGGCATTTTAAATGACCTTGTCATTTGTTAGGTATTTAAATCTTGGTCGAGAAAGTTAAGCACAATTCTGGTATCTTTTTAATCTAAAATAAAGACAAAAGTCACAGCAGGCTCCTAAAAATTCCATACGCGTTACCCGGTTATTTACACATAATCCCTCATGGTGTACGCCGCCCTGCCCTCCGGCTTCATGCTGGAGATGTGCCGCTGCTTGGGAGGGTAGAACCAAGCCTCCGGACCCCTTTTGAGGTAGGAAGTGCAGAAAATCATGCCAGAGATCAGCAGCAGCACGGCCGAAATGAAGCCGATGTAGACGGCTCCTCCGGGTTCGTGTTTGTTGCTTTCCGGCACGGTCAGGTCCTGGAAGTTGTCGATGCTCTCCTTCGTGTACCACACCGTGGGGATGAGCCCGGCGACCCCTGCCGACATGAGGCAGACCCCTCCCCCACAGGACGCCTGGCTCTTGGTTTCTTCGTCCCCTCCTAAGCGAACGCATTTCATCCCTACGGCGGCGGCGCAGATCCCGAAAGCAGACAGCACGCAGGCCAGCACCATGGCAGCCCGTGCCGCCTGCACGTGGGGGGGGAGCGCCAGCGTGGAGTACTTGAGGGTGCAGCTGATCATCCCCGTGCTGTCCCACACGCAGTCCATCCACAGCCCCTGCAGCTGTGCGACGGCTGTGATGATGTTGGAGCCCACGTCCACATTCACCTGCCAATTGGGCAGCACGGTGGCCACGAGTACTCCAGCGACCCCACATAAGCCCAGGACCAAAGCCAGGAGCTGGAGACCCCCCAAGGCCATGATGTCGCCGTCAGCTTTGTCCGCCTGGAAAATCCTGGTGCTTAATTATAATGGCTGTTGGTCAAAATGTTCGCTGTTTCTGTGCAGGGGAGAACCAAGCGACAAAGCCTAGAGAAAGAAGAAACAGAAAACAGGAAGGCCTCTGTGTGCAAGTGGGGACCTCTCTGGATAGGCCCCGCCTGGATAAGGACACCGCCGCCCCGGGAAAGCTCACAGAGGCTTTCAGAGGCTGCCGTCCTGCGTGACCCTGGTCGGGTGGTGCAGGGTTCGTGGTGGAAAGAGCTGTCCGCTTGGTTCTTTTTAAAACTTCAGCTGTGCTAACGTGGGCATGCACCCTGATTGGAGATTCAGACATACCAAATTACAGCTATGCGATCTGATAAAGAATTTTAATAGCATTACAGGTTTTTAAAACTTGTTTTTAATTAAAATCCTCTATAGGTAATAAGGAAGCAAACAATAGTTTATATCTTCCCCTTAAAATGATTTATAAGTATATTTTAGAAAAGTTTCCATAAAATAGTTATATTAAATAAATATTAATTAAGCACCCGTGCGGGTGAATTGTTTAAGGGGGAAAGCCGTGGAGAGAAGTCCAAGTCCCTGGCATGATTATCCCTAATTTCTAGTTAGAAAACATTTGCAAAAGCCTTACCTAGGGTAGCACTTCTTTCACTGCAGGTCCAAGGTTGTCAAAACCCAAACAATTAAGCCACTGTCTTTTGCTGTGAGCATGTGCGATCCTTTTTAGTTGGGACCAGAATCATTCCCTGACCCAGATGCACTGTCTGCTGCAAAACCGGTTATTCCGAACCGTTCCAAAGCGGGGACAAGTGAATCTTGAAAATACTGAACAGAAATAGTCACATCATTATTTGTGAAAGGATACCAAAAATAATTGAACACTTTCTTTTTTCAAGAAGAGGAAAATGTTATCACTTACTTTGTGGCTTGGCTGTGTTTTAATCTGGCAGTGCTTCCTGCCTTTGAGAAATACAGTGGTTTCTGAAATGGCTTTTTTATGTTTCGGAATTAATCTTTGAATGATGTGTTAAAGTGGCTCTATCATGCGTCACATATGTTTCACGAAAGGCAGGATGGGCTCTGAATCCAGGACGCCTGGGGCAAATCTTGGCCTCCAGAACCTCTCTGTGCCTCAGTCTCTTCTGGGAAATGAGGAGGAGGATAATACCTGTATCATGGAGTCAAATACATCAGTGCATTTTAAGGGCTTGAAACAATATCTGCCCCCACAGAAAGTACTCAGTAAATTACAATTGACATTGTTATTTTAATTTATTTTATGTCATATGGCAAATGTCATGATATTTATATCCTATCATACTACAGTTTCTGTTTTCTCTCCCTTCCTTAGGCTAATTTAGTCATCATTTCTTCAGATTAGGATATGTAGGTAGTAAATCACCCAGGGCCACACAGGTCTCAGCACAGATTGGCGGCGTCCACGTCATCCCCATCTCTTTCCCCCGTCTCCAGCCTGTACCTTCTCCCCCTTTCCACAATCTTGGTGAAATCCTCCGTGTGCTTCGAGGTGGGGAAAATGCTACCTCTGCAGGCACAAGGCACCAGTAACTATCAGCTTCATTGTCACCCACTCCCTTTCCAGAGAGAGAGAGAGAGAGAGACAGACAGAGAGAGACAGAGAGAGACAGAGACAGAGACACTCCAGAGGGAACCGCCAGGGCACACGGCTGAGCTTTGCAGACTTACCAAGGAGGTTGACACCTAGCTTTCGGGAACTACCTGAAGTCATACCAATCCATGCCGTTATTGAAAGTACGAACTTTGCAGAGTTCTACCATTGACTCTCTAAGAAGTTAAGTCCTGGGCTCTCTGAATTCCATTGTTCTATTTTTGTTCATAGTCTTAAAATGCGGATTTGACAGTTTTAGAAGAGGCTGTCTCTGAGGCTTTGAATCCTTTGGAGTCAGACGTACTGGAAGGATCCGAGTGCCTAGGCTTTGCCTGCCATCAGACAGTTCATTTCTTTTCATTTTTGAGGCCAAAATAGAGCAAAAGTTAAAAGTTTCTAGAACAAAATGAAGCACATGTTTATAGTTTCATAATAGCTGTTTTCGGGTTTGGGTTTAGGCTGCAGCCAACTCACTAAATTACTGCCTTCCCAGACCATTTTCAGCTTAGGGATCCTTCAAGAGCGAGGTTGCTATTAACATTCCCTAAGAACATCCATTTCTTCATCTTTACTTTGGTTGAGTAACCTTTATGTGTTGATCAATCTATGCTCAGCTTCCCAATTAGAGCCCTTTATTCTCATTAGCCAATACGTTTTAGAAATTTCAGTGTAATTCAGACTTGCAGACAGCTTGTTCATCTTAACTAACAGGTACTGGCAGTGATAAATTACAGAGAGCCCGTCAGCGGAAACAGTACGACACTGCTCTCAGCATAGCGCTCGCTTACTGTTGAATGTGCTTTAAATGCTTTCTTCTGCCTGGAGAATTTATGCACAAAGAATTTCTCCTCCAACACGAAGGTCACTGTTCTGTTTCTTTTGTAAAAATACACCGGCACCTTAGCTATCGTGCTATGAAATGTTTTTTCCTCCCCAGCCACAGGCATGATACAGTTTGTGACCTGTTCTCTCAAATTTCTATTGCGTAGAGAATAAAGGCATACTGTTTCTGGGGGGAGGGGGGGGCGCTGGTAGAGAAATACTGTGAAAAGCAGCAGAAGCAAAGGGGTCGCGTTTAGGAACTTAGCTCCAAGGAGAGCACTTTCTCCTGGTTCCAAAACACACTGCACACAGAGCAGAACCTGTGAGTGTTAAATTCATGAACTGTTTGCTGAGAAAGTCTGGAGTGGATGTAATCATTAAAAATAAAGTCAGTTTTTCAAAACTAATATTTGAAAACAGCTTTACAGTCTAAAATTCACACTACATCGCACTTGAAGGGCTCTAGTTAGGTCTGTAAGCATGATGGAGGCGTCTCCTTTTCCGTACCTTTCGTCCGTGTCTTCAGTGTCTGCACTCCCTTCTGTCACTTGCCTTCACGTGAACCCCAGTGAGAGGAACAGACAGCACATGCATGAGGCTCCTTTCACAGCTGCTGAGTATTACTGGTGAAGCCCCAGCAAGTTAACGCGCAAATAGCAAGTAAAGAGCAACATAGAAATCTGAGAGGTAAAAGCTGCTGACGGTGCTAGAAGATAAATACCAGGTTCTCCATCTCACTTTTTGAGCTGCGAGAGAATTAAGAAAGGAGAGGCGGGGAAGGGAGGGAGTTGTTACAACAGGACTCGTCGAAACCTGAAAGCCGAAAATGCTTTTCTGTCACTGTACACAGAGGAGGAATTATTTGGGTGCTCGCAAAAAAGGCTTTCTTTTAATCTTATGTTTTAGACCAGAGCTATAATTTATTTTTGAATTTTTATCTGTGTTGGAAGATACGGTTTATTTTTTTCATGTCCCCAATTATATTAAAGAATATGGTCGGAAATATTTTTAACTAGGTTGTACTTCGCAAATGACAGTTGGGAGTCTCTTTTTATTCTGGTGCTTGTGACGTGTCTGAAATCAAGAGTGACAAAATTGGTAACTTTCAAAATAACTAGTCAGAAGTTGTGTGTGTGTGTGTGTGTGTGTGTGTATTTAATAAAAGAAAAAAGAAAACCCAGCAACAACTGTTGACTAGAATCTTGATCAGTAAACCTACAAGTATTTGGGAGGAGGGGGTATCCTGAATTTTCTTCCGCTATTCCTTCCATTGAGAGAGATTCCTGGAGTATAAGTTACATTAGAGTTTTTAGAAACTGTTATAAAGAAATTACTTAAAAATGATGTGATGAAACATATTAGGTGAAACAGTGAAATCAAATATTGACGTTCTAGGTCATGAGTTATGGTACATATTTCACCTGCATCTATTTTATATTCTCATTTTTTTTCTTCCTCAGTAATTTCAGTTCTACAAGCTATAAATTCAGGAAGATAATTTTATGATTAGATTTATTTTTTTTTAATTTAAAACTGCTAATAGCCATGTTAGATGTTAACCATTTCTTTAAAAGCAATTATAATAAAATGCATGTTTTCATTATCTGGATTTTTCTAGATTATTTTTTGTTGGGATTTTTTTTTTTTTGGTTTGTCTTAATCTTTTCTAAGTCTGGCATTAGCAAGCTATTGTTAGAAATCTAATGCCTGTGGATTTGTTTTTTAGCTATAGTATTGTAATTTTGATATATAAACTTTTATTTCATGGAAATACATAGACAATCCTTGTATAAATACTGGATGAGGTAGAATTGAATTTCAGGCTGTAACAGGAACAGCATTGTTATTTCTGCTGGGTCAGGAGTCCCCCAGGTCCCCTTAGTGACCTGGCTTGTGTTGCTCCTGTCACGGTTGCCAGTGCCGACTCACCTGTGCTGGGGCTGGCTGACGGCAGGTGGAGGGACCAGCCGCTCTTAGCCTGACCTCAGCATAATGCAGCTCAGAGGATACGTGGGTTAAGTGTGCTTTAATGCCATTACTATTTTCAAAACATTGTTTTATTATCCTTCTGCCTTGATGAGAATACTTACCTATAAAATATTAAATGCCTGTTTTAAAAAGGTAAACTTCTGAAATGCAGATAACTCATTAACGACAGACCTTTAATCAAGACAGAATTTCTTATATAAAAAAAGGAGCTTGGAAAGGAGAGGTGCATAGAGAAATATAATTTATCAACATTATTATGTATTTCCAATGGGGACATCAAAGAGAATTAAATCTTGTAAGTCCAGACATGTCCCTAGATAAATCTTATCTTAGTTTATCTCTATGTCCGTTTGTCTCTTCCCTAGCTGTCTCCCAACTTGTATCCCCAGCCGCCAGCGTAACATCACTGATAGACATCTCAGGCCTGTCAGGGGCAAAGCTGAGCTGACCTTCCCCACATCAAGCCCACCCATTTCCCTGTGCCCAGTAGTGGCAAACTCATCCTTCCATTTGGCAGGCCCTGGGTCTTCAAAGCATCCTCGATTCCCTACCCAACATCCACGCAGCCAACAAATCGGTTTGTTTCCAAACTTCAAAATGGATCAAGAATCCTACCATGTCTGACTGTCTGGCTAAGGCCTCTGAGTGTAAACCTCATGAGGACAAAGCTCTCCGTGCGTCTTGTCATCGCTGCTTCTCCCGTGCCAGCTGGTGCCTGGCTCACGGGAGGGGTATAGTCAGTATCTGTTGAAAGAATTCAGAAATTGATTTTGAGTATAAAAAATAACCTTAAGCTATACATTACCTTTGGGTAATTTTATCCTTTCCAAATGAGACTAATGTTAAGTGACTTTGCAACTCCTTAGTTTGTAATCTTGATGTAATAATATCTACCATTTATAAGCCGATTCATATATGCTAGAAACTGTTTCAGGCACTCTGGTATTTAACACTCAAGACAAGCCTGTGAGATAACAGGAATCCTTATTTTATAGATGAGAAAACCAAGCTCCACAGAAGTTAAGTAACTTGACTAAGGTCGTAAAATGAGTAAGTATCAGGTGTGGGAGTCAGGCCCAGAATAAGCCCCGCCTCCACATAGAACAGAATGTATTTCTAAGTCTCATTCTAATGAGTTATTTCTTTCTGAGGTCTTCTGGGTTAAACTATAGAAACAAATTAATCCCGACACCTCTGTATCTTTACATACAAGCATTTACTTCTCACTGACGCAAAGTGGCTGCAGACTAGCTGGCCAGTGACTCGGCAGGCCATCTATTTTCTTTTTTAAAATGGTTTTACTTACCTATTTTTAAGAAAACATTATGTGTGATTGCCTTAGTGTTTGCTTTTCTTAGTGACAATAATCTGGATATTCAGACAAGCTTTTCTTTTTTTTTTTTTTTCCTGAAAGAATCGATCATTTAACTGAATATTTGAGAAATGATAATAGCATACCTTTGTGTGAGGTGGTTCTCCAGAGCTGTGTTTCTCAGCACTGCCCACGTGTGAGCATCATCTAGCTTTGGAAAGACCCTAAGGCCAGGACCCAGCCCAGTGGCTCTCATGTCATTGGTAGGAGATGCTGCCTAGTCACTGTGTGTTTAAAACGCTGCGCACTTCTCCAATGACAAAGGTGGGGTTCTGACTTTAAAAACAATGTCTTTTCTTTTTTGCTTGCTGTTCAACCATGAAAATAATGGAAGTTCTGAGTATAAAATAGTTACCTGTTCTGGTCCCACAAACTTAATGTGATTGACATAATCTTAAAATCATGGTTTTCTTCTGACCCGGTCTTAGGAAAACGAACAGTGAGCAGCTGTGAGCACCATCGGTCCCTTGTTTTCCTCCATCTTTAGGGTCTTTTTAAATAATGCTTTACGCTGGAGTGAACACTTTCTAACTTTTAAAATGGGTAGCTTGTAGGTTCGTTGACCGTAGTGAAAATAAAGATGAATATTCTTGAGTTTATGTGTCTTCGCAAATGTCGGTGAGGCTGTCCTAGTTCCTTCCGGTGACCCCGTAGTCAGGCGGGCACTGTGCACGCAGGCCGCGCTTCCGTTCGCTCTACTGTCTGTCGCCTTATTTTTACAACATTTTGTTGCTCCTGTTTATGTCTTCATGAGAAAGGACCTTGAGGATTGCTTTGTAACGTGTTCACCACATTATTTTAGAGTGTTAAGGCTG